TCGTCAACCTTCCAATTTAGATTAGTTCTTGGAATTGTTTTCACATTTGAAACAACAATCTCCAGAATGTTATCGTCCTTACTGGCAATTCTTGGAAATGCAAAACGACCTCGCCTAACAACTACTATTTTGATTTATTATGATGTTTTTACAAAATATGAATCTAATATTTCGAATACATTATAATAATTAGATCACATATATATTTATATTACTATTGCTAATACCTATAGCAATATTACACATTATATTATATATTAGCATATCTCGTAGCTCATAAACATTATATTATGATATATTTATATTATTAGTATATCTCGTAGCCCATAACACCTCCCCACAAAAAAAAGGTTTATGTCTGCAAGACAGAAATTTTTACAATTTTTATATGTTCCAGTTACATTTCATTTACATCAATTACTTAATAAAATAAAAAAAAAAAAATATGTATATTCCTTTATAAAACATAAAAATCCTTCACCTCAATAATTATTACATAAATAAATCTGTGAACAATTAATGTTATTACACATGTATGTAAATTTAAAATATCTGTCACCTTTATTAACTATTATACTATTATTAATTATTGTTATATCTCTTTTTTTTTTTAACGTGGTGATGGTGGAGCAGCAAATGGTATATCTTCGAAAATTTCCGTACTATAATTTCCTTTCCTCATTGGTTTTCTATATCCAACTATTTTCCTAGGCTCTATGATATGATGATTGCTAACATACCTACATATTATTAGTATATACATAGCTAATATTAATATCATACATAATATAGCTAAACCTACTGTAGCATATAATAAATTTGAATGAATAAATTGATGTTTTTGCGCTTGTTCTCTTATTATTTCATTATCGATCATTTGTTGTACCTCATCGAGTGATTTAGATACACCATGTAGATCTGTTAATTGTATATCTGTTTCGTTATCCCATTTCTCATTTATTGTATAGTTATGTATGTGCTCAGGTATTTTGTCTAATAAGTTTTTCATTTTAGTTACAGGTACAAAATCCTTGTATTTTCTACTTACATCTTCTTCTATTGCTAAATTAATACTACATCTCTTTGATACGGTTCGTCCGGATGGACGACCCGTTTCGTAAATAAATACACTTCTTTATTTTGAGTATTACGTGTTTCTATTTCTATAAAATAATAATTATGTTTGACAATTAATGGGCTGAGTAAAGCGTCGATTTGTGCCGACCAGACTTGTATAAGTGGGTCGACACAATCGGGGGCGCTTGGGTTTTAGCCGGGCAATTAACGGGCTCTAACTATATAATGGAGTATTTCATATTACAAAATATATAGGGTGTGGGATCCGGCCGATGTCGGTACAAGCTTATATAAGCGGTATTCCGACAACGAACCTGGATCGGATAGGACAGCTTAGTTAAGCGCCTGGGTGGGTAGTGTGTTGGCCCTGAAAAGGGCCGTTTTATTGAAGCGTCACCGGATTGCACGCCGACACGGGTCTTATACCGTTGAGCGGTAACCACGTGGATAGTCAGCGCCGATCGTTTGGATACAGCACCGTCGGTAGATCGTCGTCGCCGGATTATGCTGGCAGCCGTAAAGCGGCGTTTCGTTGGTGTCGGTCAGCGATCTAAAGGTAGTCCTGGTCTTCTTATGTCTGGTTTCTTTGTTGGATGTTGACAGTTTGAAGGTTTGGAAAAGACTGACTAGATGGTCGAAAGTGTCCGGTATTTATACCGTCTTCGGCCATCTAGTCCGTTATTGATTGGTCCGCGTGATTCGTTCTGGCAGATAAAAATCACACCATTGTTCTGCATTTTGTATTTACCAGGTGTGATTTTTTATCTGTCAGTCTTACTTGTCTTACCCAATTGATGTTGTTGGTCTTGAAAAAGACCTTTTTATTGATCAACAACTCATATATACCGTTTATTCCGTAACATCTTGTAAATATTCAACAACTTGTATCTATTATAGATATTTCTCCTGAGTTTCTCATTTCTTGAATAAACGGTTCTATTAAATCATCACATCCTACTGTTAAAACATCGTGTCCTACATGTATCCATGTATTTTTCTTGTTAAGCCTATGATATATATTTTCACTCAGTGTAAATTTTTTAAGTACACATGTATTCGGTATTGTATCTGCTCCTTTGAATAATTGTATCTCACACGGTTGATGACTATTAGCTTCTTGTATTGGCTGTGGTAATTTACATATTTTGTACATATTTAATTCTGTACAATCGCTTATTTGTTTATCTAAATAAGTAGTAAATTTTTTCCTATCTTTTGTTATTGCAATATATTCGTACATAAGTGAAGTAACATACCATCCAACTATCGTTTTTTCCATACGATACATAGGTATAGGTATTACATTAAACAATGTAAATTCAATATCCATAACTAATGGTATTTTTGTAATAAACACTAATCTTTCGTTTTCATAATATACACTCATTTTTGCTATTTTTGAAAATTCACCTATTTCTGATGGTTTTGTTCCTACAGGAATGTCTAAGTTATTTCTAAAATATTGTTTTGCTGTTCTTAATATTTCTGCAATTTCTTGTGGTGTCATAAGACTTGGATGTATTATTCCTCCTCTTGCAGCTGTAATTATTTGTTCTAATGTGGAAGTTTCAAATGCATATTGATTAGTTAGTATTGTATATAAATTATGTACTTCATCTGCCATTAATAAATCTAAAATATCGTCAGTTCTATTTTGTATTTGTAACAATCTTTTATGTAATTTTTGTTCTTTGTTTGATACGTCCTTATATAACTCTTCAGTACGATTTATTGTATTAGCTATTTTCTTCACAACTGTTTTTACTACCGTTGTTTGTGTTTTCATTATATGTAAAATATTATTTCCTGTTTCTTCTGTTTTTTGAATTGCTTCTCTGGTTTTCTTAACACATTTGTCATCACACACACCAATTAACGTATACATAACATTACCTATAATATTTATTAATCCCCTCTTTTGTCTTTGATTATTAATATCTTGATCAGTAGGTTGACCTCCTAATGATAAATACATTCTTTCTTTTTGATTAGTTATTTCGTCGTGTAACCCTTTCACGACGAGCGTTAATTTTTGTTTTAATATGTTATACAACTAGCACACACAATTGTGTATGTAAATCTATACTATCTTCAGTCCTGATTGATTAATTGATTTTAGTAATAGGTATTAACGAACCTACACAAATGTGTGGTTGGTTTCTTAAAATTATGTAGACTAAAATAATTCAAATAGAACGTTTAAACCTTAACCACACGATTGTGCAGGTTATTCCTTATCTATAAAAAAATAAACGAATTTAATATTTCTAAAAATAATCATTTGTTTGGAATTTTTGTCTGGCCTATTCAATACGATAACCATTACATTAAATTATCATTAACCAACGCTTATTTGTGTTGGCATTATTTTATAATATTATTTGGTACATGGTGACGATTCTTATAATTCAAAACATACACAGTTATCGTTAGTAGTTCCTTCGGTTCGGACGGCTAAAGTAACCTACACAATTGTGTAGGTTAGTATTTTTTTTCGTGTCTTTGAATTTTATTGTTGTTTTATATCTTTGTTAAAATGCGTCGTGCAAAGTTAAATGCAACCGATATTTTAACCGCTTTAAATGAAGAATCTGAAATAGACGATTTCAGTGGTGATGATTCAGATTTTGATACAACATGGCAACCTTTACCTAAAAAAAATGCAGGTCAATCGGATTTATCTGGATCAGATTCTAACGAAGACCAAGATACATTTACCAATAACGAAGGTAATAATAAAAATAATTTGGATCTCAGTTTAAATACAAATGATATAGAAGTACCAACTCAAACTAGTACACAATCAATATCAAATATTGGATGGAGCCAAATGCCTTTTCTGGGTGTACCACTACCCGAATTTAATGGCCCTCATAATCGTATTGAATTAGGATCACCTATTAGTTATGTAGAAAAATATTTACCTGATTTACATTTCGAAGAAGCTGCGCTATATACTAACATGTATGCATTAAGTACTAAGGGGAAAGAATTCAGGGCCACTGCCAATGAAATAAAAGTATTTTACGGTGCCCAGGCGTTGATGGGAATTATTAAATACCCTCGATTTTTTATGTACTGGCAGAGAGGTATCGCTTTGGATCTCATATCTTCTGCAATCACAAGAGATAGGTTTTTAGCTATACGCACACATTTACATTTTGTTGACGTAAATAACCGTCTTCCAAACAACAAAAGTAAATTTTGGAAAGTTCAACCGTTGATCGAATTTGTTCGAAATGCGTGTAGAAATATACCTCGATCCATTGGTTTATATTCTATAGACGAACAGATGGTACCTTTTACTGGCAGGTGTCCTTATCGGCAATTTGTAAAAAATAAACCGCGTCCCGTCGGGCTTAAAAACTTTGTGATTACGACCACTACAGGAATGGTCCTCGATTTTGAACTATATCAAGGGGCTGAAACTCCTTTTGAAGACCGCTCTCTTGGGTTAGGACCCGCTGTAGTTCTACATTTATCGAAAACAATACCCAAAGAATCAGTACTATTTTTTGATAGATATTTTACAACTGTCCCATTGATGAACCGATTAAATGAAATCGGTATTCATGCAACGGGAACAATCATGCAGAATCGTTTGAAAAATATTCATTTTTCGAATGACAAAAAATTTGAACGTGGTGTATGGGAGGAATTCACAAGAGCTGATCAGAAATTAACTGCCATTAAATGGAAAGACAGTAAATGTGTAACAATGATATCGACAACAACAGGTGCAGAACCACATCAAATAGTTAAAAGGTGGAGTAAAACTGAAAATAAAGAGATAAATGTTCCTTGTCCTGCAGTAGTAGTATCATATAATAAAAATATGGGCGGTGTTGACTTGTGCAATCAACAAATGGAAGCTTACCGCACA